GTTTCGCAGACACTGTCCAGCCATCTCATCCTCTGTCGTCCCCTCCTCTTGCCGTCACACTTTCCTAACATCAAGGTCTTTTCCAAGGAGTCTTCTCTTCTCATGATATGGCCAAAGTACTGGAGCCTCAGCTTCAGGATCTGTCCTTCCAGTGAGCACTCAGGGTTGATTTCCTTTAGAATTGATAGGTTTGTTCTCCTTGCAGTCCAGGGGACTCTCAAGAGCCTCCTCCAGCACCACAGTTCAAAGGCATCAATTCTTCGGCGGTCTGCTTTCTTTATGGTCCAGCTCTCACTACCATACATCACTACAGGAAAACCATAGCTTTGACTATTCGGACTTTTGTTTACAAGGTGATGTCTCTGCTTTTTAAGATGCTGTTGAGGTTTGTCATCGCTTTCCTCCCCAGAAGCAGGCGTCTTTTAATTTCGTGGCTGCTGTCTCCATCTGCAGTGATCATAGAGCCCAAGAAAGTAAAATCTGTCACTGCCTCCATATTTTCCCCTTCTGTTTGCCAGGAGGTGATGGGACCAGTGGCTATGATCTTAGTTTTTTTGATGTTGAGTTTCAGGCCGTTTTTTGCACTCTCCTCTTTCACCCTCATTACAAGGTTCTTTAATTCCTCCTCACTTTCTGCCATCAGAGTGGTATCATGTGCGTATCGGAGGTTGTTGATATTTCTTCCGGCAATCTTAATTCTGGTTTGGGATTCCTCCAGTCCAGCCTTCCGCATTATGTATTCTGCATATAAGTTAAATAAGCCGAGGGACAATATACAGCCTTGTCGTACTCCTTTCCCAATTTTGAACCAATCAGTTGTTCCATATCCAGTTCTAACTGTTGCTTCCTGTCCCACATACTGTATAGGTTTCTCAGGGGATAGACAAGTTGGTCAGGTACTCCCATTTCTTTAAGGACTTGCCATAGTTTGCTGTGGTCCACACAGTCAAAGGCTTTTGCATAGTCAATGAAGCAGATGTTTTTCTGGAACTCTCTGGCTTTCTCTATAATCCAGCACATGTTTGCAATTTGGTCTCTGGTTCCTCTGCCCCTTCGGAATCCAGCTTGTACTTCTGGGAGTTCTCGGTCCACATACTGCTGAAGCCTACCTTGTAGGATTTTGAGCATAACCTTGCTAGCGTGTGAAATGAGTGCAGTTGTACGGTTGAAAATCTGAGCAGAGCTACCTTAACAAGCCACCAACAAGGCTGAGTGCCAGTTTTCTTCCCTCTCCCTGCTGACTTCTCTGTGTTCAGTGGAAGCAAATTAATCTGAAGAACCCTGATTTCTTGGGTGTGACTTTGTAGCAGACCTGTTTTGTTTTTCTTCTGCTGTGTAACTGCACCCCAAGGCATGTTGGAAGTACCTGCAATAGGCAAAACATAAGGCTTTGGCTTATCTTGGCTGAATAAGCCATTATAGGTTATTTCAAAAGTAGCTTCCCAATTATGAAGATATTCAAGATACATTTCTTGTAAGGCCTAATCTTCATCTTGAACCACACAAACAGTTTTGCCAGAGGCTACTCACAGGTCAATGAAGATATTAAATTATGAAATAATGCAAACTGAGAAAGAACCAGTGTCTACCATCCAGTCTTGAAATGTGGAGCTAGAAGGAGTTATGACTGTTTCTCCTTTTTAAAATTGGTACCGACAAATGTAGTTTGGTTGAATGCAGCAAGCTGTTAAAATACCAGACATGGTTTTATTGGTGCTATTATCAGGGTGAGTCAGGAAGTGGGAACTGTAACAGTTAAGAAGACTGCAAAAATGCATGCTTGTTTCAAGTTTTAGATCAGTATATCTTGCCAACTGGTGAACTTGCCAGTGTTTTATGAGTCCGACAAGTAAAACTCTGGCTCACCAAACTAACCAGTACTGGGGTATAGAAAACCCAGAAAAATCCAGATTTGCTTAAGCTCTTTGAATGACCACCAGTTTCTGCCAGGCTCTGCCCAAATTGACCAAGGAATTGCATGCAAATTAAAAAAAAATGTAACCACCAATATTATAATGCTTTTAAAGAAATTGATGTATTGACATTTGTAATATTGCGTGCAGTTCTAGGATTATTACATTACTGAATTCTTTTCAGACCAAAGAATGTTTAGAATCAGTTTTTTTTTAAGTAAATCAATTAAAAATGAAATATGGAAGTCATCAAACATAATATTGAATGCAAGGGTAACTAATTGTCTAAGCAGAGGAGGCATATTGCCCACAATTGGGATGTGTGTGTGTGTGCGCGCGTGTGTGCGCACGTGTGTGTGCACCCCTTGCTCAGACCAAAGGCTGCCTGTGATCAATGGCATAATAAATTTGGAACTGCAGCTGCCTGTCATAACAGCCCCCACAGCACCCCCCAGGCGAATCCAAAAATGCAGGCAACTGGATCATTCCATAATAACAAATGAAGAGCAGTTCTTTTGTAAAGCTAATGTCTCTCAATTGCTCAAATTTCCCTTGAATACTTTACATTGCAGCAGAGGTGGTTTGCTACAATGTACAGTACTGTTCCTGGAAAAATCAATTTCTCTTCCAAGTTACCGTGATGATCGTTCATAGGGAACAAAGAAACCTGAGTGGGATGACTGAAGACATCACAATCCATGCTATATAGAAAGTCCCAGGCTTCAACCCTGTAAGCCCTGGCTCAACTACACCACGGCTTGTGCTCATATATTTAAAAAAACATTCCAAGCCAAGTACTGTATTCAGGATCACTGAAAACCAGCCACAGAGGAAGTTGTAGAGGAAGCGGATCAAAAATAAATGGCCAGTAAGGTAATCATGTCTGTGGAAATATAGCATGCATGACCACACTTGAAATACTTATATACAGTTTGTGTTGCCCTACTTTGACAAGGATATTGCATGGAGGGAAAAGGTGCAGAGGAGAGGCAGCGTGGGGGGGCAGGAGCCGCATAAACGTACAATACCCCTGAGGAAAGCTTACGATGTTTAGGGCTCCTGAGTGTAGAGAAAAAAAGTAGAGTGAGTACAAATCTAACAGAGGCATATCAAATCATGCATGGTGTTGAGAGGATGGGATACCCGGTTTGGTGTAGTGGACACAGTGACATACTAGAACTCAGGGGGCCTGGGTTTGAATCCACGCTCAGCCATGGAAGCTTCCGGGGGTTGTCAAATTGGTAAAACCACTCCTGAAATACAGTACCTGGAACGCCATTTATTTAAGTTGCTGGAAGTCGGTTCCAACTTGACAGCACCTGACATAATGCAAAGAAAGTAGATGGGCAGAACAGGACCTGAAGATATCCAGTTAGATAAACCAGTGAGAAATCCAGGCGAATTAATAAATTAAACAAAATGGTTTAAACACTGTCATGTGTCCTCCTAGAAGACATTAAAAGGGGATCAGAGGTATTTGCTGAGAATGATGCAAAGAGCAGGTGCCGATAATAATAGCTATAATAATGATTACTGCTAAAAACTTTTTTGTTGTTTAGTCATTAAGTTGTGTCCGACTCTTCGTGACCCCATGGACCAGAGCATGCGAGGCCCTCCTATCTTCCACTGCCTCCTGGAGTTGGGTCAATTTCATGTTGGTAGCTTCGAGGACCCTGTCCAACCATCTCATCCTCTGTCGTCCCTCCTCTTGCTTTCACACTTTCCCAACATCAGGGTCTTTTCCAGGGAGTCTTCTCATGAGATGGCCAAAGTATTGGAGCCTCAGCTTCAGGATCAGGATTCAAGTGCCAGGGAAAGTAAAACCTGCCGAACCTCCTGCTTCCCTGGTTTGGGAGCAGGCTTCTGGTGCGCTCGTACTTGGTGCCCATCTCGCCCTCCGAGCCAGAGGACAGTTAGGAGGGCAGTGGGCTGCTCCTCCCTCCCACTCACACTCACTTACCTGACTTTGGCTGTGCTGAGCAGCTGACGGTGCCAAGGTGCCAAGCTTTCTCGTGGCTTGGCTCAGATCACAAAAATGGTGCATCGTAATCTTTGCCTCAAATATGAGGAAAGCTTTACGACCCCCCCAGAGTTCTTCCCTGGCTGGGACACCCATCCGAACCGTGGAAGAACTCAACTCCCCAGTCCCCTCTCTTGAGTCTCCAAGGCTCCCCACCTCCCTCTGTTCCTCCCGACAGCAGTGAGCCCCTCGCTTCTTCCTGACACACTCTGAGTCCCCCTCCCTTCCATCCATCAGCCCTCTGGTCCACCTTATTTGGGACAAACATTTGGAGACTCAAGGTTGGGCTGGGGGAGGCCTCTCAGAGTTTGGTGCCCCCACTGGGAGCAACTCAATCCAATCGGAGTCCAATTTGCTTGGAAAAGGCCAAGCCATGGGCTTTGATTCAGCCCAAATGAGGATATATTGGGAGGGGGGGGAGAGAGGCAAACATCACTAGATGGCAGAAAAGGAAGGAAGGACAATGGCTTCCCTCCCTCCCTTCCTCTCTCCCACTCCTCCTCCACTCCCTCCCCATCTCCCCTTCCTCCCTTTTATTTTTCTTTTCCTCCTCTGCCCCTCTGACCTTGCCAAGGCTACCCTAAGAGCATTGGAAGAGCCAGAGGGGAACGGAGGGGGGAGAAAAAAAGTGAAGGGAACCATAGGAAGTGAGGAGGGGAGGGGGAGGGGGAGAGAGTCCCCCATTCATTCTCTGCCATTGCATCTGGCACTCTCACTGGAGCCCCACTGGAGCCCCTGGAGCCCAGTAGCTGCAGCCATCACATAAGGGTGTCTGGGGGTCCATGGGTGGGGGGATGAGATGGGGCTCACGGGGGGGGGAGAAGGCTGGGAGAGGGCTCCGGTAGATCAGCCAATTGCATCCTGGAACATTTCCCACTTTATTCTCTATTTCAGGAAGTGGCTCAGATTTCAGGTGTTCAAAACGACTGAGGTCCTGGGAGCTGCAGCAGACTGGTGGAGAGAGAGGGCAGGAGGGATCTGCTGAGAATGAATAGGATCCTGGAGCAGAGTTCAGACCAAAGATTGCAACGCCGCAGAGTGAGAGCAGAGATGGCAATACTGAGGCAAATAACAGTTTGTGCAAATAGTTCCTGATATTCAATTCCATCTTTCTGGCAACTCCACTGCGGTTTGTATTCAGGAGGGCTCACGGCATTCTTCAGAGACCTATTTTTTTTAGAAAAAGCAAATTTCTGAAAGTAGATATAAGTACTGCAGTCACAGAGTTTTTTTTTAAAAAAGAAAAGAAACGTTTCTCTGGGAATAAGACCTCTTTATTCAAATAGAAGGTAAAGTTTGAAATGCTTTATGTTAACTAATTCTGCAGAAATCGGAGTCATGGAACATTAGGAAATGCAACGTGAAAATAGAGGGCTCTTTCTGTTATGGATTCCACTAAATGATATTTGTGGAATATATTTATCTTCTTATAAAGTCTGTGCATTTCATGTGTTATCATATCTTATCTAACTTATAGTGAGCCAAATAGATTTTTCAAGGTATGTGAGATCTTGAAGGAAGGGCTTTCCCAGTGCCACACCTCCAGGAATTTTCTCTGGTCACTCAGGGATTTGAACCAAGGTCTCTCGAGTCCTAGTTCTGACTCTGGACATGATGCCTGCTTCTTACCTTACACCCTCCTTTTAGAAACTAGCATGACTGCATGCACATTATTTGTTTACAGCAGGTTCCTCAATTTGGTTCTTAGTGTGGGCTTCTTTACACCATCCATGGATTGTTCATGGCTTTACTCAATCTACAATTCACACCCTCATCACCTTTCAGAAACTAACATGGCTGTGCAATAATTGTAGAAAGTAGGTTCCTTACTGAGGTTCTCAGCATGGTTTTCTTCACATAGTCCTTGCCTTTTTCAGATTGCCACACGACCTTAGATATTCTTGATTGTCCTTCTTTCTTGGCTGTGGAAACACATACTGTATATCGTATCGTTCCTCCTATGGGGATAATAATATTTCTCAGTGTTTATGCATTGAAGAAGTCTTTCAAATCATCCCCTTTCCCACTCGTCAAGGTGCACACTATGCAGGACAGGCCACATTATTTGGACACTTGAGGCAGAGAATCCTACACACCACTCTTTGGGAGCCAAGGTATCACGTAAAATAATTTATTGTCCCTCCTTGACACTTGAATTGGCTTGCTTTCTCTGCATGGTAGCATGGCTGCCCCGGACTTGTGAATCAGGAACAAACTAAGAAAAACATTACTTCTACAGCAGAAGATGGAAAGAAAGCGGAAACTAAAAGTCACCTGAATGACTGACTCCGTGTTCAAGAACTTGCGCTCTCCTGTTGTCTGGCATTCCTCATGAGCATCTATTTGCAATCAGATAAACATTAAAGATGTTGATTTTTTTCTTTCTTTCTTAGGCTAGTTACTCAATCTCATAGGCTGAACTAGAGCTTGGAAAAATTACTTCCATTTCTCAGAATTCCCAGATGGTATGGCCACTGGCCATCCTGACCCAAGGTTTCTGTGGGCCAAGAAAGCCCTGAGGAAAATGCGCTCTGTGAAGCACACAAAATAGGCAGGAAAATACTAGGAAAACCTTCTCTATAAATCCTTCTAATGTCTCCCCACTCTTAAAAGAGCAATTTTATTGTCCTTTCATGGCAAGGCATTTCCAGCTTCTGGTGACCCTGATAGGATTTGTGAAGTACATAAATCTGTGCTTGAATATTTGTAGGAATGGTTTCAGGACAGAGTGCTTGAATACTATATGGTTTCTCCCATTGACTTGGCTAATTGCTTTTTCTTGCCAGTTAAGAAGACATCACATATCTTTATTTTTGGTTCTGTCCCCCCTTCTTTCTTGGCCATGGTAACACGTACCCTCTATACCCTTGTTCCTTCATGAAATACCTCAGGAATATTATCTGCTAGTGCTTATGTATTGAAGGAGTCTTTCAAACCATCTGCTTTCCTACTTGTATTAATTTCAAGTGTGTAGTATGCAAGGTTGGCCAAGTTATTTTGACATCTGAGGCAGAAAAACCCACACATCTCTCTCTGGGATCCTAAATTTAACACAAAATAATCGTTTTGTCTTTGCTTGCCTCAGACCTGTGAACTGAGAAGAAAAGAAGGAAGACATTAGTCCTGTAGAAAAGGGTGCAAGGTCATCTCAATTATTGACTCGTACTTGTTCAAGAGGCTCTTATAGTCTCCTGATATCTGATATTCATCCTTACTCAAGAATTTCAGAGGTCTGGCCCAAAATGGAAACTTTCCAAGCTTTGGGGAAAATGCTATCTTTGAAGAACATCCCTATTTTGAAATGTCAGCCATTTCCCTTACAAAACAGACAACCACTATGAACACTTTTTCTACAAATCCTTCTAAAATCTTTTCCCATCCAGGAAAGGATAATGTCATTTTGATGTGCTATCCTAAGGGACCCTCAAGGATTAATACAGACCCTCCTCCTTCTTTTCCAGTCACGAAGAGTCATCCTTCTCCATGTGAAGGCTCAGCCTGACTATTAACTGTCACTTTGTTTGAAGAAAAACAGAAGCTCTCCAGGTAGTGACCTCATTCTGACGTCAGAGAATTCTGTTTCTATTTGGCCTGGGCTGTACTCATGCCAACCCATCAATCTCTGTAATCAGGAAACCATCAATTTGAATCTTCAACAAATCAGAGTGTTGGTCTCATAAAAGATGTGGTTCAGGGTTGATTTCCTTCAGAATAGATAGGTTTGTTCTCTTTACGGTCCAGGGGACTCTCAAGAGTCTCCTCCAGCACCACAATTCAAAAGCATCAATTCTTCGGCAGTTAGCCTTCTTTATGGTGCAGCTCTCACTAAAAACTTAGTTTTGATGTTATTGGTGGAATAATCAGGACCTTCCGCTTAGTTACTTTTCTCCTTATAATAACGGTGTGTGCATCCAAATGCTGATCACTTACTCTTTATAAAGTATGTTCTAGAAGTCCAGAGTTCTTCAGCTATACAGGTTGAAATCTGATTGATTGCTATTTTTTTTGTTTCTTTCTTTTTACCCCGCTTTTCTCCTTGAGAAGGACCCAAGGTGGCTTACGTCATTAAAATACAATATTTAAAGCTAAAAACAATAAGTATACAAATACTTTAAAAGCTCAAACAAATGCCACACTAAAAGACAGTAAACAAAGCAAGACCAAAAATGCATTCAAGGCAGTAAGGCGCCACCATCATCCATTTAAAAACTCCGCTTGGCAGCTCATCACTCAGGGAAACGGTTCCTGAAGTCTTGCCTGCTTGTGGAAGACTAGACCCACAGGGTCCGATGCTAAATGCTACATCATCCCACTGATTTAATGTCCACTCTAGTCCCGACTAGCAACTGGATTTAAGGTATGACTTCTGCTTAGTATAAGCAACAACACCATTTTGTTGAATCATTCAGGCTTATCCTGTCTAACTATTATTTTCCAGCCCTAATCGCCCAGATCCCCTTAAAGGCCTATGAGTTACGAACGTCTCCTGCAGTTTGTTCAGAGCATCTAGTAGATAGAGGCACGCTGCTCCTGTGCATGGAGGTTCCATTTAGGAATCGCAGCTCGGAGAACATCTATAGACTTGTGAAGGGCATGTCCAGAGCTAAACATCTCTGGGAAACTGATAAAAGAACATCCTACTTTTCAAGGAAAACAAACAGTTTCCATTATTTGCGGTGTACTCTGACACAGTTCACTTGGTTTTATTGGATACAAGGAAAGGTCAGAGAAGAATTCTCACGACCTTAAGGGTATAAAAGCACCAGATGAATAATTGGTAGTTCCAATTAGTCTAGTCCAGCATTCCAACATGATGCCTTTAGGAAGCCCATGGAGGACACAGGAGTGCAGACACCCTATTGCCTCTGATACTGGACGTAATAAACAACCACCATAACTAGTCTTATGTACAGTTCTGAGGCCATATCACAGGGATCTCAAACCAACTACACTGGTTTCTAAGTGGCTTAAGAACTAAACAGCCTGGCGGGGTGGGGGGGGCAGATCTGAAAAACTGCCCAGAATTTGCTCCCTTCAGTGGCTGCCTTCATGCCTGTCCCACAAGACTAGACCGGTGGGTTTTCTCCATAGGGGCCGTACAAGTTTGGCACTCCATTAAAAGCAGAGCCAAACCGGCTTTTTGTCAATGCTTTTCAAAAAAACTCTAGAAAAATCATTTCAAACTTCTGGATCCAGCAATTGTAATCAATTGTAACATGGCTTTGGAAGCTCGGAAGGGGAAAAGCAGTAGATAAAGGAATGAGATAACCTAGTCTAATCTAATGTGACTATAATATCATAATACCTTTGCATGGATTTATCTAATTCACATGTAAAGCCAGGTTGGGGGACATGGCCATCACTTCATCTAGCAATAGGTAAAGGTAAAAGTAAATGTTGCCCTTGACATTTAGTCCACTGGTGTCCGACTCTAGGGCACGGTGCTCATCCCCGTTTCCAAGCTGTAGAGCGAGTGTTTGTCTAAAGACAGTTTTCATGGTCACCTGGCCAGCGTGACTAGACACAGAATGCCGTTATCTTCCCAACGTGGTGGTACCTATTTATCTACTCACATTTTTTCATGCTACTCCCATTTTTGCATGCTTTCGAACCGCTAGGTTGGCAGGAGCTGGGACAAGCGATGGGGGCTCACTCCGTCTCGTGGATTCGATCTTGCAACTGCTGGTCTTCTGACCTTGCAGCACAGAGGCTTCTGCGGTTTAACCTGCAGTGCCGCCACGTCCCAATGCATCTAGCAATCGTCGGCATGAATTGTGTGATAGCCTATCCCTTCAATATGCATTGAGTCGGCAGCTGCATTAATGCATTAAGGAAGACTAGCTGCCTTCCATCTGTGTTGAATCTCTCACCTTTCAGTTGAGTTGGGTGACCCCATAGGGTGGCCAGGTGTGTGTCACCAAAGAGGGCCTGCATGACCACAAAGAAGGACAGATCTCAAACGGAATACTGCTCAGTTCCGGTATTATGAGAGATGATAAGCATTTTGGCCAGTGCTTTTTGGATAAGAAGCTCCAACAGCAGAAGCTGCTGTGACAATCTATTGGGATGCCAGTTTAGTGAAAACTGTTTTATGACAAGCACCTTGTTAAGATCACTGTAGCTGTTTCCTGTCTTGAAGCTCCATTGCATGCAAATATAATGCAGGATACTGATCTTTATCCACTTTCTTCATGCCATGTGTAATCTTACACACCTCTTTCCTATCCCCCAGCTAAACTGATTTTTCTGAGCATAGAAAGAGTGCTGCTTATATACGGCCCCACAGCACGTAAAGCACTCTCTGGTCAGTTCGCAATTTATGCAGGCTACACATTCCGCCCCCCTCCATGACCTGGGTACACAATTTACTGGCCTCAGAAGGATGGAAGGTTGGCCCCACAGCATGTAAAGCACTTTCTGGTCAGTTCACAATTTATGCAGGCTACACACACACCCCCCCATGACCTGGGTACACAATTTACTGGTCTCAGAAGGATGGAAGGTGGAGAATCTCGAGCCAGCTACCTGGGACTGAACCCAGGTTGTGAGCAGAGTTTTGGCTGCAGTACTGCAGTTTAACCACGGTGCCTCGAGGCTCCTAGAAGCCCCAAACACTGGGCAGTTGATCCAGCCTTCCCTATGATTATTTGGGTTGCCCTTTCTGCTCCTTTTCCAGCTCTACCACATTGTTTCTGCAGTGGCTCCCCCTCCCCATAGTATTCCAAGCATGGCTGCATAATAGATTTCTTAAGAACTCATGAATACAGGGACAGTTATGTTTGTGATTTCCCTTCTAACAATCCCTAGCATAGAATTTTGCAGAGACCACAAACTCATGTTAATTGACATTTGACATTTCAATCAAGCTATCCACCAGAACTTGGAAGATCCCTTTCTTGGATAATCTTTGTCGATTTAGCACAGCTACTTCAGTCTCAGCATGCTTTTCCATAAAAGGAAACACATTGCTGAAAAAAAGAGGATGAAGCAGAACACAGATCTGCATCATTTTTTCATATGTTAATTTATGCGTAATAGCAATAGAAACCAGTTGCCATAATTTAAATAGAGATCATGTGTATAGCTCTGTGGATAGGAGCATCTGGCTCTAGAGCCAGAGGCTGGGAGTTTGAATCCCCGCTCTGCTTCCTGAGAGAGGGCCCAGTCAAGAATCAGCCCTAACGCTGGTGTGGTTGATGGGGTTATGTGCCCTGCCACCTATGTAGCCAGGAGCAACTTGCATGATCCAAGAGTGCCCCCTGAAGGCAGGATTGCAAATGTCTTCAGTTTAGCTGGAAAATTGTGGGATGGTTGTCATTCATTGCAATTGACTTGACAGCATATAATTACAGTGGTGCCTCGCTAGACGATAAGCCGTTCCACTGAAATCGCAATCATTGTCTAGCGAAAAGCATTTCCCCATTGGAATGCATTGAAACCTGTTTAATGCGTTCCAATGGGGAAGAATCGTCATTGTCTAGCGAAGATCGGCCATAGGAAAGCCGCTTTGCAAACCGCCAATCAGCTGTTTAAATCGCTATCTTGTGAAGCTTAGGTTCCAAAAACACCTGTTTGCGAGCACGGAGAG